GTTTCTGTCCTTCCAAAGAGTTCTCTCCTGCTCCCTTCTAGGCAGCTTCCCGCCCGCCTGAGGCAGCCACTGTGATGCACAGTGGTACCATGGGTTACTTTTTCTACAACTTTGTACCAATGGAACCCCACAGCGTGCACTCTTTTGTGTTAGGCCCCCTTCACTCAAAATAAAACTTCTGAGATTAATCCATGTTCTGTGTATCAGGTGTTCATTCTTCTTTATTCCTGCATGCTATTATATTTATACTAGAGGCCTGGTGCACAAATTTGTGCACAGGTTGGGTCCGGCCAGCCCACCCCGATCTGGGCTGATTGGGCCAGTCTGGCTGGGGCAAGGGGATACAGGAGGTTGGCGGCCTGGCCCCGCCCCCTGGTTGAACTCTTGTCCAACTCCCAGTCGAGGGGACAATTTGCATATTACCCTTTTATTATATAGGATGAAATACATGTTATTACTTTGAAGATTTTTATTTTATTGATTTGAGAGAGAGAGAGAGAAACATTGATTGGTTGTTCCACTTAATTATGCATTCTTTGGTTGATTCTTATATGTGCTCTGACCGGGGATCGAACCTGTAACCTTGGAATATTGGAAGGATGCTCCAACCAACTGTGCTACCTGGCCACGGCCAATGCTCTTTGTTATAGAAGCATAATATCAAGAGGGGAAAAAACTCTAGCTGCCATTCATTGAGGGCTCCCTTTGGGCCACAAGCTGTAAATGGGGATTTATATATATCTGATCGCAGGGGAACCAGGTTCTCCTTAAGGATCTGGGCAAAATGTTTCCGTCCCCTCTCCTGGAGCCCACTTGTGTGTTAAACTTCTCCATGGCAGAGGCCATTCATCTGCATCCCGCCTTCCTTCTCAGCACAAGTTACGCATCTCCCCGTCAGCTCCGTCAGCCCCTGGCGGGGAGCGGGGAGTGGGGAGCAGCTGGATGCTGTTGCCAGCATCGCACAGCCTCCACACCAGAAAGCATCGTAGCTCCTGCGGAGGGTCCCCAACCGCGCTGTTTGTCTTGGTTTCTGTCACAAGCCGCCTTGGACCCTCTCCCAGCCTCTACATTCCTCCAGCCCCAGTGGCCTGACCCTGGCTGGACCCCTGGGCCCCAGGAGGGCCAGAAAGCTTGTCGCCTTCCCATGGGAAGGAGGGAGAAGCTGACCCATCTGAAGTCCGGGTGGCTGGAGGTCAGGATTCTGACAGAGGCATGGCCG